TATATATATATATATATACGTCTTTTTTGTTCAGTTTGTTTTAAACGGGGAAGAAATTAAACCAGAAAGATGTTGCCGTCGAATCAGATCTATAAAGAAGTTTCTAAATCATTCATCTTTTGTTCCTGTGTATTATGCAATAAACATATAGCAGCAAAGGTTTATAAACGGACTGAATTCCTTTAGAAAGTGTTAGGCCGAAGTATTTTTAAAATTAAAATTTATAAAAGAGAAATAAATAAGGAAGAATTTGGATTGCATAAAATCATCGAGAAATGATTTTCAGTGATCCGTCAGAAATATATTCAATTGCATTTCTGATCAACACAAACTCTTTGAAGTGCATTGCAACTTTTTGTTCCTTTTGCAGCTGAACAATATGATTAGTAACAGTTTATCTCAGAAATTCTACTTCGTTTCTTCTTGCTAATATAAATACAGTTTATTGGCATTTGTTTAGAATGTTGGGAGAATCACGGAAAGTGGCAGTTAGAGTATATTATTACCATAAATTATCATATTTAAAGAATTAATGCAATCTTACTGTTGCCTTTTATGAATTTGAAATTGAGAGCAAAGATGTAAATACTTACAGTCTTGAGGATGATGGAATATGTAGCCAAAGATTGATTTCAACTCCAATTTTTCTTCAGCTCTCACAGATAAAAATATGAATGCACATAGAATCAAACAATATTGTTGGTGCATCGTTTTTATTGCTGAAAAATTGCGTACTTTTGAGTGCATCACATGGATGAAAAATTGAGAATGAGAAGCAATAGAAAAACGAATGACAGATTTTCTTGCCGCAATGAAGAAGCGAATTTGATTTCAAGATATAATATCAATATACTAATTTTATTGTTATACTTATTGGTTGTCAGTATTATGCATATATTTGAAGTAATTTATTTCCATGAAGTATCAATGAAAAAGAATAAGGAAATTGATAATGATAGTAGTGACATCTCGTGAAATTCGAGTTTATTGCAAATGAAATAAAATCTTTGTCATCCATTCTATTCTCATCCTTCTGCAATATCTGTCAGTGTGAATGCAAAATTTACATGTACATATCTGAATACCGATTATATCCAAATCAAATAATCATTGGTTTTTTGAATAATTGCATGTATGCATTTTAAAGATATTGTATAACAGTGGGAAATGCTTAAAGTTAATTTCATTTTACCATAAACATCAGTGACTGAATTTCTTTTTCTGTAAAGCTTTTTATAAAAACACTTTTTTCGTATTTATCGATAAAAATAAAATTCCGTTCAAATTCAGTCTAAAGTGTGCTCCTCTCATACCAAAATTTCGGTTGCTGAATAAATCAAAAAATCACTTTGTTTCTCAAAAAATTCCAAATCAAATCGTACTTTTGGCTGCAAACTTAGCAAGCAGTTTAAAGTGGCTCTAGGCTTTAATACCGAAAAAGACTAATGAATTTATCATAAAAGCAATACTTGGCCACTTTTGATATTGATTTCAAGGAACTATTATTTAGATATTTTATCATTGGAAAATGATGAAATCGAGCAGCAATCTTTCGCGGTAGTCTTACACCATAGTCCGAGAATCACCGGGATAGAGAAGTAGACGGGAAGAATGAAGGGGATCAAGAATTGGGTTACATCGGGACGCAAGAGGAGGAGAAAATAAATGTTTGAGTGTGGAAAAGTTTGATATCAATTCACGATTTTTTGCTCTGGACCACAACATACAGCTATGCGTACTAATAAAGGTCAAAACTAAGCGGAAAAAAGTTTCTTGTATTTAAGGTGAGACTTGCAGTGCTTACTTACCTCAAAAACAAGGAAAGTATCATTTAAGGCAGACTATACTTTCGGAGACTTGCATTTATCGCTAACTTGAGTCATATTTGGAAATTAGTTGTTTTGTCTCAAGAAAACACAACTTCTTGCACGGATTAACTTATTTTTAGACGTGTCATTAAAGCTAAAGTGCATAGAAGAATTATATTACAACAGCCATACTTATCTTTTTGTATAAATACAGAAATTGTGATGCAACATTTGCTTGCAAGACTAAGTTACTACTTACTAATGAAACTCATTTTTAGTAATCAGTAATTTTAACTTGCCAGCGCTCGACTCTGCTCTATTTTCTTGCTCCTTAAAGTTCGTTTAGATGACTATATTTCCAATAGTTAAGGAAGAAGCTTATGAGATTAGTTAATTACCAACTACAAATAATTATCACTACAATGTGCTGTTAAAATATTGCTTTTTTTTCCAAAAATCTCTCAATATCCTGGAAAAAAAAAAGACAACTTACAAAAAAAAGATTTATGCATATATCGTCGTATGTAATATAATTTACCTCCTAGTTTCGGCTTTCATTTTTAGCTTCAAAGTACTTATTAGGTAATACAATATTTTACTAGCATTACTTCAAGTGTAAGCTCCTGAATCACTATTACAAAGTAGATATTTATATATTTTTCTAGAACAAAGTAAAACCTTAATTTGTTCTAATCCCTGAGTAAAAGATTATTTGATGTGAATTAAAAAAGATCATTCTTAGAAAGTTATTACTGAAGAAATGTAATTAGTAATGTGCACTTCTGCTAACTTCATTTGCAACAATTTTAAATTTATCTTCAGAGAGCTTACATACAAATACTGTATTATTTGTTCCCCATGCACGAATCACAAACATCAACAAAATAATGATAATGCTTGTATGTACTACGAAAACAACATTTATCAAACGTCATTATTTGAAACTATTGCACTTGATATCGTATTAGTTATGAGAACAAGATTTTTAGCTGAAAGAATGCCAGTAATGAATATTGCAAAAATTAATATACTCCCCTTTTAATTCCTGCAGTGAAGCAAATGATCTGTATTTCTTACTCATCAAGACCCCATTTAAACAAACTTTTAAGAAAAAGCAGTAGTATTATTACTGGAAATATTTTTTCAGGAGTAACAAATAAAAATATAACATTACTTACATCTTGTTTTGCGCATAATAAAATTTTTATTTTGAAACATTGTAGAAATTATCAGAATAGTTGAAATTTATTGTAAAACACGAAATTGATTGAAAAAATCAACAGAATTAGTAAGGAAAACAATAAAAATAGCGCAGCGTTTTTAAAATTGAATCAAATTGAAAAGAAGTGGTAAAGTTTATCCTTTTAATTAACTATTCAGTTGAAGATGACTGATTGAAAACAAGACATCTTCACTATATTGTAAAAGTGAAGAAAATGAGATTTAGCAAATTAATTTTCGCATAAAGGATATTTAATTTCTGGGAAGGCTGAAATACCGCAGTGTACACATCTTAAATTTTTTCATCGTTTTCATTGTGTCAGACTTGAAAATACTGTTTTTATTAATTCCGTTAGTACTGTTCATTACAGTCATTATTGGTAGTTAGAGGTATTGTTTACGTTATTAACTGTGTGCGTCATTTAATTTAGTTTCTCGTGTTTTATTCTTCAGATTAGTATTCACGTATAACAGTTTCTGTTTATTTTTTTGCTTCACTGTCACCATTATAATTTCTTATGATTAAACATGTTGTAAGTGATTCTCAAGAATAAGTATTTATTAATTCAAAATGTAAATGTAATGTTATATAAATATGTGGTCATTTTTTTCATCATCTAATCAACTAAGCTTTGCGATATGTTAAGACTCGAATAGCTGATTTTTTTTGTCTACGATTATTTTCTTACGAAAAGAGCAAAGTAATTTAATTGGTATGGGCAAGTGGCAATCATAACTGCTTCTACTTATGAAATAGTGAGAATGAAAATTTTTCATAAATAGGACAGATTCCAATAATTTAAAAATTTTCCTCCTATTCAAATTTAAGTTATTATCTACGAAATGACATTATCGAGGATCTAAGTGGATAAATTAATAGCTACAAGGAATTTGATGCATAAATTAATAACTAGGAAAAAAAATTTCATACACACATTAATAAGTAGAAAGAATTTTAAATACCATTTTGAAATAAAATATGTTCATTTTTTCTAACTCCAATAATAAATTTATTATTTATCTCGGTTTCACATCTCTTACTTGCTTTATCCTTATCAAACAGAATTTTATCTTTTGTAATGGTGGTTTTTGATAACAAATAGAATTAGGTATAATTATCATCAGCTCAATTCAAGAAAATGAATGCAGACAATATTTTGATGATGAAGATTACGACAAAAGTAAAATTTTTGGTGCAAAAAGTAGTGAAACGGTCATGATTTTTGCAAATTATTTTTGTGATAAAGACAAATTAAAGCGATGAGAAGTGCTTTAGGGTATTTAAATACTCTATTATAAAAAATTAATGGTACAATTGGAAGTTGGAAAATAGTTCGACTCCAAAATAATGTAATTGATTTTCTTCGCGGCAATAAAGTAAAATACGTAGAGGAAATAAATTACTGAAGTGGGAAATTTCAAATTTATGTTAATTTCTTTCTTCACAGAAGCTGTAATTAGAGGTACTGAAACATTAATAAGAATTTTAATGACATCGTAAAAAGTTGAAGAGATGTACGAAACTTTCTCAAGGGCTAGTTTTTGCAATAATTACTGTTTTTGTTACCTCAAATTCATGAAATTTCAACTCCACTCTAATATGAGCAAAATATTAAGGGAAATTTTCTTCTTCAGAGAGACACTGTGAACAAAAAACTGTCAACAATAATAAATTTAGAACAAATATAAGCCTATGTCTGATTTTTACTTAATATTTTAACGAGTTATAGCTGTATGAAAAATTAAATACAAAAATAACAACAATCAATTGGTGATTGAAATGTGACCTGAAATAACACTCATTTATCAAAAATTTTTATAACTGCAATTAAAAGAAAAGTCGTGTGCAAGACTTTTCCAAACAGGCAGAAGTTAACTGCATGTTTCTTGATTTGATCAACACGCATATTGATGGAAATATAAATGAAACGTGTCAAGTCTCTACCTTGCTTTGACATACTGACTTCCGTAATACACACAAATTCCTTTATGAAAGAACAAAACCCTAATCACTATCTAATCAAATATTGCAACGAAAGAGTCCACTTTCTCGTTGCTTTTGTTTTGACGTTACTATAACATCTCTTTATCATGGATAAAATTTGCAGACGAATTACTTTACCTGAATTTAATTTCATCTTCATTCTGCTTATTTGTTTCAGTAAACAACAATTTTCACTGCACTGAGACAGAGTATCCATGTATCATCAATGTTAGTTCGTTAACCCTTGACAGCGCAGAATTGAAAAATCAAATACTTTTGGTACAGATGTGTACAAAAGAATTTTTTCTCTTCAGTGGCAATATGTCTAAAAATTTATTTTGGGTAGGTGAATGTCACACGACAAGTTAAAACATGCTATAATCTCACCTTCATATCTAATTACAAAAAAACTGGAATACGGACAAAGCTTGACACTCATCACTGCAAACACTGCTGAAATTCACAAACTTATGAAGACAGCAACGCAACAAGTGAAATACGATAGTAAAGTTTTAACTACTGTGACTAATCTGAAACAAAAAAAAGAAGTAACAAAGTGGGGCTAATATAATCTGCTGTATTAAATGCCTTAGTAAGACATGACTCGCTTATTAGTCACTTACTGATGCCGCTTCTCAAAAGAAAGTATATGTAGGTGTTACTTGCGATTTCTTTTGACATCTTGATTGCGATCTTTTTTGGAAATGATTATTAAGTACTACTCTCCCTATACAATTTTTCTACCATATGCTTTTGAAAATTTATAAGAATATTTACTATCAACAATTCTCTATACCCTTGTCTTATCCCCTTCAACCACTTCTACTCAAACCTAAATAATACATTTCACAGTGTGAGAAACCACCCTTGAAACTAGATTAAACCCATCAAATCCAGTTGCACAATTATATTTTAGAAACTCAATTCCTTAGACTTTTTCAACAACCACACAAGGAATTACACAAACACATACAGTCATAGTCAGAAACTGGTCACATGCTTCAAAAAGTGAAATTTCAGGTGCTTCTTACATTATGCCCACCAGCTACTCAAAAGCTATGTTTCTTTACTTTATAATTTTTTGGTCACATCTGGCACTATTTTTTACGCGCCAAAAATGTCAATGCAATTAGGAAATTGATTTTCTTAATTCGAAGTTACATATCTACGATAAGAGAATAAGATTAAGATACCTACTCTAATATAAATAGATAACACCACCTGCCACTGCTATCAAAAGAAGCTTCCCTGCTCAAGTCCGAAAAAGTGAAACTAAATTGAGAATATCTGAAAAGTAGTAGCACAAAGAAGCTGTTGCCGTAAAACACCGTATTTATAAATATCTAAACGAATATATTTCTAGTTCACAATATTTTAACAGTTAATTTTATCATAAATTACATAAACAATTTTGAACCACGCTATACCAAGGTATTTAGAAATTCAAGACTTGATAAAATACTCATCGAAATGGAAATAATAAACACTGAAATAATAATTTTCATAAATTCATAAAGAAATGAAGTATTCACCTATGCAAACAATTACATCTCAAGAAAAGTGAATTAGTTCCAGAATAAAAGTGCTAAAGTATGCAAAAAACTGAACAAAAACATTTCCATATTTCGACCATTATATAATGTGGTTATAAATTAATCAAATAGCATACAATTTCATTTGTTCCATAATTTCTGATTTATCATGCACACCAAATTTTTCTGGCTTTTGCATGATGAGTTCACATATAGACTCCAACTGCTTTTGTTGCGCTAACTGTTCCTGGAAAACAATATTCAATTCCATCACATGGATTCTTAAACTGCGAATAAAGATCCTAATATTTCCAGTCAAATATGATGAAAAAAACCATAATACGTCAAGCAAGACAAGTAAATCTTGAATGTTGATGCTGATTATTTTTCACCGTATTTTTCATCATTTTTAGCTCAGAATAAGCAGAGCATATATAATGTATTTCTTGGTATAAAATTTTTACCAACATACTTCTCTTCGTTCTCCTTCCGTCATTACTTTTTCTAACTTCTTAGCTCTTGCTCGCAAGTCTGCTGTTGCTAATTTCCCATGCAATTCACTAAGTGAGAAAACTGCTTCATCTTGTTCGCTGCTCCAAGTCTCCATGTGCTTTTTTAATATAAAGGAATCCTTGGTATGTTTGATCTGAAATATTTCATCTGACTTAGAATATTTACTACTGACAATGCCAAAGGCAAATTTCCAAATTTTAAAAAGTACTCACTAAAAGACAATCTTACAATATCACTCAATATGTGTGCAAACATATCTCATCCGTCAAAAAAGCAATTAATAATTTTTTAAGACTCGTTAAACAAACCTCTTGTAATTCAGATTTCGGTATTTTTGAACTAATGTCCTGTATACCACTATCTAAAATAAAAAAACATGATCTATGAAAATGACAATTTTTCGATATATTGACTCCTCATTTGAATTCCCTGTACCTAATAGCACTAACAAGCAAGAATCAAAATTCAACTCAACAGTATTTAATGAAACGAAAATCCAACCATCATCGATGATGCTTCCTCTATCAAAGCTATCATTTATTTCCCAATCCATACTAGAAGTATCACAACTGTCCCCCTACAAATTTGAAATATGCAGTAACATTTAAATCTAGCATTAATCGATATCAATGCAGCTTTTCAACTATAAATACTTTGAAAATAGTTGAACTGTAAAGATCCATAACAAATTTAAAAATCCAGTTTTGCAGTACTCATTCAAAGACAATCTTGATAATAATAGGATTAAACAAGAAATAAGAAAAGACTAGAAGACTTCCACTATGATGATCTCTACATTATCATACCAAACAAAAAAAACCGTACAAACGGTGCAGTTACAGCGTTAAAAAGAAAGCTTTTACATTCATAGATGTACTGGAACTTTTGAGGAAGATTCGCCGTAGAATTTTTTTGAAAACTGAATCGTTAAGCCAATCGTGATGAAACTGTTCTAAAATACAATATCACAGAACCAGGAACAACATTATAAACTTTCAATGCCATACTGCTAGAAAGTAGACGAGGCAACTCAGCTTCCAATTTTTTCCAATGACTTGACTTCGTTTATTAATTTTTACGAGCCTTACTGAAATACTTTAAATTTATCAAACACGCCACTATCGAGAATAAAAACGAGGATGGAATTTTTAACTGATAACGAGTATAATGAGAACAAAATTTATGTTGTTAAGTAAATATATAAAACAACACATACCTTCTTGTTGCAGCCGAAGCCATCTCCACAAATACATAGAAAATGCAACAGTAAACAAAGCTATTGTCGCAAGACAAGTCTTTCGGTATTCGCGAAAGAAAACTGCATAATTGTAAGCTGGTAAAGGATGAGCGATCGTGTCTGGACTACGAAAACTGTCATCATCGTCCTCCTCAAATACGCGCATGACAGTACACGTATGGCTTTGATTCAAGCTGCAAACAAATAAATCGATCTAAAAACAAGCACCTATCTGCTCAAATGTTTACTTAATAACAGCAAAACAATGCAAAAGTAGAGAAAACTGTTGCTATGGATGCAACGATTATTACATAGTTATCTCTCTGCTTAAGCAATCGTCTAGTCAGTCATTCATTTCATTAATTAATCAAATCAATCAATCGGTCATCGTACAAATTGCCATTCGCATTGGCATCAAAACATAGCAACACAGTGATGTACAGCACTAATGCTTTTTAACAGCGTTTTTCAGCACAACGCTTCTCTTCTCGTTAGTTGGATGTTGAGTAAGAGATTTTTTTCTTAGTTTCAGTAGAAATAGCTAAAGTCCTTAAGTAGAAAAGGCAGAAAATGAAAGACATTGCGGGATGCAGAGAGACAGACAAGTTGCACGAACACAAGGTAAAGCGATCTTCTTTTACATGTTAAAGAGACGTATCCAATTCATTAACATTTAGACGAGGGCGGGAATGCTCGTATACATCACGAGAAGTTGCATCCAGTATGAATATTAAGTAGTCTTTCAGTACGATATGAAAAAGTCAGAAGTCATCAATATCCCCTGTCAGTATCATGAAAAATGATCTTCCATGATTGCTCCCTGCCTTCAATGTAACACTCATCTAGACCTGTGAACACCAGCATGTTTACAGAATGCTGACAACAATTGCAATGCACAATGAGTCACTTTCTGAAATTTGTGTGACTCGCTTGAAACGAATACAATTTGAGGAGGGAAGTAAATTTCGAAATTTATGTTTGACGTAACTTCTCTAGTAAACAATGGGTTGCTTCAATCCAGAGACTGTTTAACAACGAAATTTTCATGTCAGGCTGTGCAAGATAATTTGATCATCTAAAGACTGCTGTTTAATTTCTTACTTCTGCAATTCATATGCATACTATATTAAGTATCACCTTTTTGTTCCATTACATTAAAAGGAAAAGAGAAAAAATTTTCAAATACTGTTTAAATTTAAGAAGAAAAGTAGAGTCACTTTTGCTCCCACTTCTGTGCTTTTCGTATTTATTTAATATAATATGCAGGCTACCAATGCATCGACAGCAGCATAGTTTGTTTAAATAAAAAAGAACCCTATTGATTGGTTTTTCTTCATTGCAATTTTGATATGGGCGTCTATCATAACTTTGAAGGATAAAATGCTTGCGATTTTTTCTAGATGTTTTAAAAAGTTTCGACATCTAAGGCGTTCTCAATTATGTGATTTTTTTACTGTGCAAGTATATAGTGCAAACAGTATTACGAGTTGCTGGTAATATAAAAGCTATTAATCATAAATATAGTTTCCAAAGATGTGAACAGGTTTAGCGATCGACTCTCAGAGAATGTTTGTGTAAGCTTCAGATAACATACGTTGAGAACTCCTATTCGCCTTGATTTTCATCACGAAGTTGAATGTAATTGAAGTTGTGCATCTTGAAATTAGATTTCACTGACTTTTGACTTTGTCGCACTATATATCTGATAGATCAGGCCTTTACTTCTTATGAGAATGATAAATAATATGCTTTCTCTCGTTTAATTTATGATCTTACTTTGCTAGGGTTTTATTACAGGTTGTATATAAGCACATAGCAAAGATGAGACTCTGCATCTAATTATCGTTAATAGTGGAAAGTAAAACATTTCACTCCAGTACAGTTTTTTAGAGAAGAGTGCAGTTTGAGAAGGCTTTGCAGGTGTCAATTTCCGTGAAAGAAGAAAAGTAATTATTTAATTTGTATGTATACTTGAATGCTCTCTCATTTGTATGGTGTGAGTGCAGCGTGATAATGCCTTGCTGCTTTGCTTCGTCTGTCTTTTGTGACTGAGAACCTTGTTTTATAGCAAACACTGTCTAATATTTTGGCTTGAAAAATAATTGCAAGCTGTAAAATATTAATTAATTGATACTTAGTTTGCAGGTAATTTTGGCAAATATATTCAATGAGTGGTCAAGCGGTCTAGGGGAATATGGCAGGTTTGGTTCAGGGAGATGAAGAGGACCACCTACAAGCTCGTTTATTTACGTTTTTGAACGATGTCGTTTGTGTTGCTGCTGGATTAACTCATTCTATCATTTGTACCTTCAAGAGATAAGAAGTCTTTACTTTGGTCTCTAGCATTCTTCCATTTTTTCTGATCAATTTTCCATGACTTAAAAAGAAGCATCAAACAGGTTTTCAGTTTGATTAATTTTCTCGAACTGTATTCTTATTTTTCTAGACTAACTTTTTATCTCATTACATTTATCTTTTCAACAGTCAAACTGTGCCATTTCTCAAGTACATTATAAATATTAAAGATGAATGATTCCTTAGAACTCACTGCTTTTCATGTTAGTCTATAAAACCGAATATTACTTAACATTTGCGAAAATCGTCAGTAATGAGTTTTTCATATCTTTCTCGAAATAGTTCAAGTTCTTTAGTGTTTCTTTTATTCATGTGATCTATCTAAATATTCAAAATTCATGCTTTAATGTTTTATTCATTTAGGATAAATGTACATTTGAAAATTCTTTTGAGCGAACAATGAAGTTAGGTAGATCAAATGCTTATGTCGATTACAATACAACCACATTTAGTTCACAAAAATTGCAGGTCAACTAATAATTAGAGTTTCCATGCTAGACGTTTTTTATGGCTTGTATTATAACGAATGTGAATATTTAAATATTAAAATTTGATCTGAATGTTCATTTGTCATTGCTATTTTTATATTATGAGCATAAATTTTACGTCATAAAATTTATTGGTAAAATCAAATGACACAAATATGATGATTTATATTTTGATCATTTTCTTTTGCATGTGATCGATGTGTTTTTACTTGTTTTGTTTGTTCATTATTTTATCATTGACGATCTCAATATTGATCTTTAACAATACATGATAATCAGCAAAAGAAAAAGTGTTGGATTTGTAATTTTCTGAAATGTGGTTTACATGGTCTTTGGTTTTCATTCACTGAAAAATTTCATACTAGGTGAGAAATGCTTCGAAGGATTACAGGGAACTGAAAGCAAAACGTTATAACACAACGTTTTGCTTCCTTTCAGTGATGTCGCCTGAAATCTTGTAATAAATATTAGCATTCTTTGAGATTGCGTACGACAAAATCAAATTAACGTTTCAGGGCAAGATAGAAGTTCTTATAAATTTTGTTTAAATATTGTCTGTAATCTCAGTACGGGAATATAACCTTTTTTGATTGTTAGTAGTCACTAAAATTGATGTTAAAGCGATTGTTTATTAGCTCATTTTGCTGAAAGACATAATTTGGTACTGTGATTCTTGTTCAATGTAATTTTTGTTTTAAACAAATTAGTTTACAAATAGGAATGAAGTAACAACTTTTTGAAATTACTCCTTGTGAAAAGTAGAAGAGAATAGTTTGATGTTAATGAACTTAATGCTAAGATGCACGTTGAATGCATGTGGAACTTGTACAGGTAAGTAGTTTGAGATATTTCAATCAAAAATGGATAGTGGGTACAAAGAAAGTTTTGCACATATTAATTTACATGATCCTCACAATAATTAAGCTTCGAGAATAAAATTTAACAGACAAAATTCTGTGAGGAACACAAAAATGAAGTACCCGCATCAGTGCATTATCCAGACATACTTTCATATCGTTTGTGTATTAGGGCTTTTGGTTCCATTCCCACCACTACCATAAGTAGTATAAAATAGTTTTGCTGCAGTTGCTGCACTATCGGCACTGGTAAACCTGATAAATGTTTGAGGTGATGTGGTTGACGTAGACGCTGATGGCATTGTTGAATTTGGATGGAAAAGGATTGGTGGATGTAACAGAGATGGTGCGATATTTGTCAAAAATGGTATAGATAAACTGAAATATTGTTTGTTCGATAGCAGAAAGTATTGCAGGTATTAGGCAATTAGTATAAAAAAATTAATGAATACAAGAGCTTTTGAGCATTTTATTCGTCAGTGACTGGTAAAGTAACTCATTACAAATAAAATGTGTACCTATTTGCAACGCCGATATTGCCAGTGAAACGGTCTGTTGCATCACTCATATGTGGCATATTTGAAGCAAAAATTTGTGAACGATGAATATTCATGGCGCTCGAACTGTCAACGTCACTTGCTGCTTGACGTTTCCATTTGTTTCGTCTGTTTTGAAACCATATTTTTACCTGCATTATTTATAAGTAATCCTTAAAGTAATCCTTACAAATTTTTTTTAAAAAATTTATCACGATGATGGTACATCAAAATATGGATACGTTGTATATGGATCTCAAAAATTGCTAATGGTTAGTTATTACAAGGTGATAAGTGATAGGTTGTTACATCAAAATATGGATACTTTGTATATGGATCTCAAAAATTGCTAATGGTTAGTTATTACAAGGTGATAAGTGACAAGCTACAGATATAAAAAGTAATCTTTACAATCGTGAAATTATTTCAATTTATACTAGATTGTGTTTCAGTATAGTAAGGGAAACATGAGACGACAGAGAAAGATGAGTGTTATCACTAAACTTTGAAGATAATTCTAAAAGAAAAAAGAATACTGACTAAATTTAGCATACCTAATAAAGTGAATAAAGTGCTTAATAGATTTATGAAGTACCAAAAAGTGAAATCGTGAAAGAAACCATTATTTTTATGGTGCTAAAACTTGTGATTAGATGAATTGATTTTGAGTAAATTTTACTACAGTTATATTTTCATTCAACATTAGTAAGAATATCTTTTTTGACTAGCCGCCGATCGAAATGACTGATAACTTTAGAGGTAGTTTTTGAGGTTTATTATTATGTTGTCAGAGTTTAAACCTCTCTGAACTATTTGCTGAATGTTTTTTCAGTATAATTATTTAACTGAATTACAGGAGACAAAAATCATGGGAATCAACAATTTTTCAAACATGTCTTGTTGTTAATTAATGAATTTTGTGAAAAGAATTTTGTTACTTACCTGAGTTTCACTAAGATGTAATGTGGAAGCCAAGTGTGCACGTTCTTGACTTGATAGGTATCGCTTTAGATCAAAAGTCATTTCTAACTGAGATACTTGTTGGCGACTAAACACAGTTCGAGTTTTCTTCTTGCGTGGAATAGTGGATCCAGACACTAGTAAAGTACTTTCATCGTCACTTGCTCTTATCACAGCATCGTCATCAATATCTTCACCACTGTCGTTATCATTATCACCATTGTCGTCATCATCATCGCAATCACTAACTAATTCGCTTACTGTGTCGGCAATTGTTCTCGGATTACCAGTTGTTGTTTTTGACTATTAAAACAAAATATCAGTTTGAAAATAATGAATTAACTTTAAATGTGGGGAAAGTATAATTTTTTATACAGTTTTGATTCTTTCTCATCGTCATCAATAAAATTTATCAATTTTGATTAATAGTAAAAGTTTTATTAGTCTACAAATAATTTACCTTCCTTTCTGGATGGTAGTTTTTTGTAAGTTTTGTTTACGTAGGCATAATAATATTTTTAATCTGTTTTCTCTCAGCACTTAATACAACTGAATGTTCAAACAGATCCATGGTAAACATACCTGGCGAGTTTCGGATAAACATTCAGCACCACTAACACCATTTGTAGTTGCTTTATACTGTATATTTTTGTGTTGCTGCGAGTAAGCTGATACTAACTGGAAGAGATCTCTTGTCGCTGAGGGTACTAAAATTTATCATAATTTAGATTAGTAAGAATGACTAAGTTAGTACAGCTTAATGTTCAAACTCAAATCCGTATGTTCAAAGGAATATAAAACTCATAAAATTACTAAAAGCATCTATTTGGGATTGACATAAATCTTAAACTGTTATAATTTGCATCTGATTCTCTTTACTTTGAGTCGTTTTTACAGCAACGACAAAATATGTGTATAACTGTTTTCCTACCTCATACATCTTATCAAAACTTTACCCTGAACAACACATCTTCAGTAAGTAAAAAATCCTTTAATTTTTATTTCGGCATGAACTTTTTTTTCTTCATTCCCTTTCAAGCATTTACCAAGTTTGAAAATTGGAATACTTAACAAATACATCATACAGGAATTAAAATGAGACTGTGGTAATTGTATCGCAGATTGCTTTGATGGTCTTTTATTTTATTTATTTTACAGTAGAAATCGAGTGCAGAAGCGCCTAGAAATACTTAACAAGCGACGTATAGAGATCATTGTGAACCATCAAAAGGATTAACTTTGAACCTAAATGACCTCAATTTGCATAATAAGGCAATATGAGAATTTAGGGGAAACAGAAGATCTGATGGATAAGAGGTGTTGTTAGCACCTGTCTGTGCTTTGATAGCCATCTAAATATTTGCTTTCTATCAAAATATTACTAATGAAGCAATGACAATAATTGTTATAATATTAAATGCTTCACTAGAAAATTATTTCTAGTCCAGCAGCTAAAGCAATTGTGACCTTGATCACTTATTCTGAAATTTTTGCTTTTAGATTTTCAGAAAACAAAAAAATGCTGCTATTTTTTATATTATACAAAACCTAACTAATATCCGTAACTTATAATGCATTCAGATATTCTGCTTTGTTTTGTTCCATATCCCGCGAAATTAAGAACATTTAAGCATGCATTTGTTTTTCAGTTATATGTTTCCCTATGCTTGCTTATTTTGGAATAAAATTCGGTTTCCTTCAATACAGATATCAAGTTCTAAAACAATTTCAGAGAAAAATGGATGGCAGTTCTGATGGACAAAATGCAAGTATTCATACTGTGTCCACTTATGCTATAGATGGTGTTTTTTTAAATTGTTAACAAAAAGTCAGAGTGCATCAGCGCATACAAAGAATTAGTCAAATAATATTGGTAGAGAGAGCGGTTCCCTAGGAAAAGCAATAAATTTGCTGAGTAACTCACTGAATTAATTAAATGTCTACAAGCATCATTACAAACATAAACATGGTACGCATCTGCGTTGCACATTTGCAAATATATCATAACTTCTCACCATTTAAAATCGTTGAGATCATCATCGGTGCTTTTTGAATTTCATTACATTACTTGCAAAAATGTCCAATTAGTAGCATATTAAATGAAACTTTATAATTTTGCCACTCTGACTTTTTTCTCTCTTGAAAAAAATTTCTAGCGAATTATTCAAAAAATTGCCTAGAAAAGGGTATTAAGTACAGCTACAGTAAGAGCAGGTTACTCGTAATTACCAATTATAGTAAGTAATCCATAGAGAGACATACAGCTCAATATTGTAAACAATGAACAGGAACTCATCGAAGAAACACAAAGCGAAACCATTTCTAGCTCTTCAGTACTTATACCCAATCAAGCAAAAAGGCAAACAATATGCAAATTAATTATAATAAGCTAATTAGCGTTAGACGTATGACAATGGCAAAAAGTGTATTCAAGCAAGAGAACTCAAACTTTCATCGCCTCTTACATTATTGCTCATTTTGAGTGATAGTCTTCAGCACAAAACTTTGATTTCAAGACATCTGTTTGTTTACTTGCTAGCTTAAATAATATCTTCTTGGATACAACATCTCTACAACTTACAGTTTTGCTTCCGTGATTTTCCCTATTTTAGTAATTTATTGTTAACATTTTGATTTATTCTGATAGCAAAAAGTTAAGAATATCTGACAATGAATAAAGAACTAAATAGTAATTATTAGTCTTTGATAAACTGCATGTAAGCAAATCTTTATCTCCATAATGACTTTGTTATTTGTAAAGCAAATCTAATTTGAGTAAAAATATGTAAAAATAAGTAAATATCAGATTGCGATAATGGAATGTGTTTTGACCATGTGGACATTACAAGTTAATTAGGTGATGACAAGAGGAAACGGTAAATAAATAACTAGAGGAGAAGTAACTGCTGGGAGCAAGAAAAAGCAAAAAATTAATTTGTCGGCTTAATGTTTAGTAAAGATAGCCGCACTTTCTTTTGAAAATCAACTAGAAACAAACTATGTCAAAGAAGGAAAGTCAATGGGTAACAATGAGATAACAATCTGATTATTATAATTGTTGTAGCTATTGCATTTGATACGCATTTTGCTCTTCTCTCCACAACATATTGTTTCTCTCTATATTTGTTATAAATGGTTGAATAGGTTATTGATGCATTTGCTTTACAAAATCATTTTTACTGTATAAAAGACAAATTAAGATTGGCTAAAATAGCCATATTATCGCTAATCTTTTGAAACTGTAATACCGACCAAGTTAATATGTTGGAAAGTATGTTCAAATTACTTTCCGATACACCTATTCAATCATTTGCTAGCTCATTATTCGCATTATTTTTATTTCATGAAATGAAATTAAAAGGGAAATAAAAAAGAAAAAGGCGGCAGTTTCCAGAGTGGAAACTTCTTTTTGTTTTTTTTTCACTTAAAAGGAAAATCTATGAAGAATAATTGGATTAAAATGATAAGTTAATATTCAGCTTCTTTTCACTTTGTATGATTGAGGTAATATGAGAAGTTTAATTGTAATGGAACGAATGCAGCAAAAAAGGTGACAAAAGACTAAATTACTTCATTTTACAGTACTTTTCTCACTCAAAAGCAATTCTATCCATTTCATCATGAGATGAAATACTGAGCATTTTTTGTCATTGCAAAATTAATGAGTATGAAGTTTTCTTAAACGAATTATTGATTAAATTTTATAAATGTAACAACTAAACTTTGTTAAAAATTTTTAAAATACACTAAAATAGATATAACTAACCCTTCTCGAACACTTTGTCTGTCGCTTTCTTGCTCTCATCATTTTGTGCTAAACTTTGATAATGAGCAATGGAAGGATGTACAGTAGATAACCATGGTTGAAACCAAGGGTTCTGTATTGGTTGTTGAAGAATACCTAAAGCTATCTGATTTTCCCATTTTGGATTTAACTGCTACATATTTTCATTTGCAAGATAAAGCTTCTGACTAATAATGATATTTCCTTTTGAACCTCATAATAGTTAATGAGTAATAATGAGTACAACTTACCTCTATGTAAATATCGCGGTATTTGAGTACCTATGAATGGCATACCACTACCAACATTTATTGTTATTGGAAATGAAGTAGCGGAAGCAAAGGTCGATTCAGTGCCAGAAGTAGTAATTAAATTTTTTGCTGCAGGACTTGCACTTCTAAATGCCTCATGTGTGCTTAAAATTTTGTTGTAAAGTAAATATTTTTGTTTTTATAAGTTTGAAATCCTCATAAGTGCATGCAATAATAACCTATAAGTTGTTAAATTATTAAAACAAATCTTTAAAGGGAAAATTTATCGTTATTTTCAAATAATTAATTAATTTTAATACTTTTGATATGAAGTCTTTAAAAAATCTTTTCCATGTTTTCAATAAGTATAATATATTTAAATATGATCAGTGTTTTAATTATGCACAATACTGCAAGTGATGCAAGAAAAATGCATGGTTATTGTATCTTCTTTAAATTGAAGCGATAACGAGCATATAAATGCAAGTGTATATTTATAAAGGTTGTCATTTGATGCGCTTGAATAACGCCGTGCTGGAATACATCTTGCTAATAATTAGCTAAGTTTTTGAATTTGATTTGATGTGTCATTTTGTTATAATATAATGGCTCAAAATTCTCACCAAAAAGTTCTTTTGTTATTTCATTGTAATTTTGCAATTTCAGTTTTATTTACTATACATAAACAACTTTTTTGTCAAGTAAAAAAATTGAAGAAGATTTCTGAATGACAAAACCTCCAACAACAAAAAATTGTAGCTATAAGGAATTTTTAATTAAATATATGATTTATTTATAAATCAAGCAGCATATTTTGCTTTTCTGTGAAATTTTGACAAAAGCGCAAAGTATGCTATTTGCTGAAAATTAAAATATTTTACTTGCTAACGATATCAGTTGAATACTTGTCACTAAGTATATCCGATATGGAAAATCGAGAAGGATTTCTTTTCGCTTTTTCCAATGCACTGTATCCTTGATGGAAGCCTAAAGTTATGAACAAAAATACAAATAAACCTTATCATCCAGTAAAGTATGAATTGCATACGGTTGAAAAAATACCCGTAGACTTAATAGCTTCTTCATTACTAATATGAGTTTCTTCCTGATCAACAAACGCCCAGGGTTGCATTTTGTGACCTTCTTCATCACATCTGCTATCTTCACTATCTGTCATTACGATCACTTCTTTGCTAAATTCGGTTTATTCAGGAAATCAAGATTCAATCTTGAGCACTCTTCGCAAGTACTAACAAAATTTTTTAGAGTTATGAGCTAAATATTAAAAAGTTGAGAAAAAAATAAAGCCAGTTATAGTGAAGCAATTGCAATGCATCAGAATAGATAAATTTTTTCAAAAGAAAACACTGCTTATAATCTATTAGATAATTTGATATAGCAATTAATTAAACCCCTCAAGACATTTTCTAACAAACAGCAAATGTCTCCACTTGCATAAAGATAAAAATGTCGATTATGGTTTGAACTTTTAGTAAACATAAAATTGAAAAACAACGTTGAGCAAAATATGAAATAACAATCGTTATAAAAGTAAAACTATGTCGCAAAGCTGAGCTAAAAATAAAATAGGTCATCACTAAATTTAGCTGACTCGTAATCAAAAATGTTAGATATTCGAAAAAGAGTAACTATAAATTTTCTTTGTTCTATTTGGCAAAAGACTAGCTCATGCTCTCAGTAAAAACAGTACTGATTTGATTTCAGCACCAAAATTAGAAAAAGCTGAATAAGTAACATTGAATAATAAAGAGAAAGTAAGAAGTTGATCTCAGCGTGCAGGTAATAATAATGGGGCTGTAACAGGTAATTAATTAATACTGTGAAGGCATTATGGAGATAGGTTGAATGCATTAATGTAACAAATCACTATGAGTAATTCGATAAGGCTTTTCAGCTTAATCTTTTCTTAATCTAAAACCACAATGAATCCATTTGCACCCAAGAAAATTTACAGGTGTGAAAA